CCCATTGCTTTGCTTTGAAAGTGCATTCCATGCATTTAGGCGGGAAAATCGAACTTAATTGAATTGATGCCTTATTTTCCGTGACGAGACTCAGGCCATCAGGCCCGCTCTTCCGTCTGACCACACAAATTTCGGACCGCTCCTTTCACCAACTACTAGCGGAGAAAGGAGGTATTTCTTGGGCGACGAAACAGGCGAAATTAAACACACGTAACAGGTGTTTGACGTATCAATCACGTGGCACCCGGACTGGTCCCGCCGAGGCCAGGAGCGCGACAGCAGTAGCCAGAATTAGCGGCGCTTATTCGTTCTCGCGCTACCTGCGAGGTTCGGTCCTGATAAAGTTCCTTAAGGCACAGCACATCTCGTCGATCGAAATGCACCGTCGGCTCTTAGAGGTATTCTTACTTCAGATGTTGCGCTGCTCCCTGACAATACTCCATGCCCACATACGGCGCGGCAAACAGCAACCGTTCCGCAGGAGTTCGGCTGGGAGCTGATTGATTATCCCCTACAATCCTGATCTCTCACCCTGCGGTTGTCATCTAATCCTTCACCTAGCGTCAGCGTTTCACAACGAAGAAGAGCTGAAGAGGACTGTGGCAAGGTGGTTCCAGTCGCAGGCAGCATACATCTACGAGACATGTATACAAATGTTGATACCACGATATACCACGATACACCACGATCCCAGTTCGTGCGGTGACACGATATGACAATTGTCTCAATTCGGGTGTCGAAAAATAGCTCAAACATTGCTAAACATGTTGTCAATAAAGTTTTGGATGTAACTATATTGTCTTTTATTTCACAAAATGGGGAACGTACTTTCTGAATGCGCTACGTAAAAGCAATTTGAAGCTCTTCTTGGCATCTTGTCTTGTAATTTCAACCCGGAGTAACTTTCTTGGCTGCATTCCGATAGTACACTTTAAAGCTCTCTTCACAGGTTAGACAAGATTCAGACATTCTTTGTAATTCTGCTTTGTAATTTGCAAGTCTCTATCAGGACCACGTTCAGGAAATGACAGCTCTAAAGCTTCAGGGGACCGCGCTTACCTACGAAATTCCAATGATTACGCTTTGAATGCATCGTGTATTCCAAATATTATTTCCAATCATGAAAGTAGAAGGTACAAAGGTAATAAAAACACATGAAACAAAAATAGGTATTTTGTAGATTGTAGATTTCCTCAAAATTTTACGAATTGTCTTAATGTGGATGAACTCGAAAGGTCGGAAGATTCGCAAAATGGAAACGGCTCATTTCAATGATGATGTGCTGATTAATTATGAGCACGAGTGGAACTATCAGCAGAATCGAATACAGAATAGGGGCGGCACATTTGCAGTAGGGATGCGACATCGATGTCGCTGTTTTCGAAACATACATGTCTCTACAAGAATCGATGTTTTAAACATCGATGTATTCAAGCAGATAGTTTTTGAACGATGCTTGTGCTCCATGGTTTTACATTTACGATGTTTTGTCCGTGGATGAAAAATCGCTATAATCACAATTTTGTAGAAGTTAAAATTAACTTCATTGAAGAGACTGTTACTCTTCGCCCGAGATGATTTCTATGCCCTGTTATCTTCTTCGCCTTTCCTCACATATCTCACATGGAGAGGGGCTTTTCAACTTTGTTTCCAGTTAAATTTCAACTATACAATAAGATGCACATTGATGTTCAAAATCATCTATGGTTGTTGGTCGCTGATTTTTTAACATCAAAGTTTTAATTTTGAACATCCTTGAAGGACGTCAAGGCGCCAGTTCAGTGAATGTAACAGTTAGTGAGGTCGGGCTGGAATAACGAAGAAAACTGCATGCTTGGTTTAAACGCAGTCTCAGTGTGACGTCCAAGATGTATGATGTCTGAATGTGACCTTTTAAGTTTTCCACTGTGTAAAACGAGCTAATAATGTATTAGCATGCGCATGGACGAATTACAGTAGATTTATTTTTGATTTGGATGAATTAACAAAACACGAAGAGTCCTGTGTAAAATAATCTTGAATTGTTGAATTCTGTACAGACTAGGAAAAGAGTAGTATAATAATTTCAGATTATCAGAGAAAATAAAATATTGAATTTAATCATTAAAAAAGAGTGTACTGTTGAATGAAGGGTCTAATATGCAACAGAAACCATGGCAACGAAAACAAATGATAAATATTAAACCTTAAACTCAGAATGAGTTTTCATCGCAATCAAACATCGCGCATAAATGCGTTAAAATAATGCGAATCGAAAGACCGCGACGCGTGTACATATCGAGAAACGAAACCCTCAGTCGCGAGCAGATCGCAGAATTGCTCCACGTCGCCCGTACGTGTGAAATGAGGCACCGCGAGCAGCCGAAGAAGTCAATATGCAAATAATGTGAACACATAGTTACATGCTTGGAGAGACCGAAGACCAAGAGACAAGGAGAGGCAAACATTATTCGCGAATCCTGTGATGGAACGGGTCCGCTGTCGGTGTCAGTCGAGTTCCAACGCAGACGCTTTTTCGACACTGTACTTCGATTTAATCCTAGCGTCTGTTGGCGCAAATCTGATGGGATCGGGATAAATGCAATAGGGAAGTTGGATGACACCTAGAATTGTGACGTTGATGCTACGTATGAATGACACCGTCACAGCTGATCAAATGTCAACAGTCTGTAAATAAATCGATTTAAGCTACTAGTTTCGTCTAATCCAACCTCTGGACGAGAATTCTAGAGGCCGCATGCTCGGATCGGTAGTTTTCCGTGGTTTCTCCGATGAACACCGGTGAGTGCCGGAGCAGTGCCCTAACAAACGGGCCACGGACCGCGCGCGATCTTCCCTTCCTCTTCCTTGTCCTATTCTTATACCTCTTACGTACTACACAAATTTTCATTCACATAAAGTAACAATATTTTGAAATCACAAAAACGGGGCATTTTAGTTTTTGTCGTAACGATAAAAGGGGCAAAAGTCAAGGTCGTTAAAGAGTATTTTATCACAAACATTTAGGTTTGGAAATCATGATAAAATAATTTAATAAATACATCAATACATACAACTTTTATAATGTAGTAGCATTCAATTCTCGTTAAACAAAGAATCCCTTAGAAAGGAACATTAGAAATTTAAACAAATTACACATTTGATTAATTACACTTTTATTCATTGTGACGTAGATCAGTCTTTCTCAATTAAGATTGCATATTAAGTCTCACTGAAACTCTCCATAGCAGAAGGATGGGATTATTAACTTTATCTACAAGGACATCAATAGCAATAAAGTTTACTCATCTTGAAATGACGCCACAGCTGGATTTTCTCTTCCAGAAACCACAACTGACTCTAAACACGTTTGTTAGTGTGGTAAACGAGTACAAAATCTTGCCGCACTTAATTTTTTATAACCAATCGCGAAAGACACAATCTATTTTGATAAATTTAATATTGCTGACGGCATTTTAGTCTGACAAGTCATTGTCACAAAAAGTGGACATTTTAGCGTCCCGTTTTCACCTTCATTCACAAGCACACGGCTGTGCCTTAGAGCTGGACGCAGCGCGGCGGGGGCGGCCCCGAGTTTTAGTGTTAGGAAACCGTTGCACTTCGGGCGGAGATAGATAGCAGCTGGCTAGAGTAAGTGGCAAGTCCGATAAACTAACTCAGATCGCAGAAAATAGAAAACTAACACGAGAACTGCAGTAGCACTGTTAGTTATGTATTTATAATTATTTTTGTTTTATCTCTATTTGTATCAATATTTGCCTGTGTGCGATATTAATATTTTCTCTAAACTAAGCAAATGTCTTCCGGGTAGCGTATGTTTTTGCTAGTTATATACACAGCAAATCTAACGAGTAAAATAGAATATACCCTTCACCACCGTTCACCACCGACCAACCACCGACCAACCACCGACGAGGTCAGAGGTCACTCACCAACAGGGGACCCCTCGCCATGTAAGCATGAGGAGAGTCTCTAGGGAGGGCATTTTTATGCCCTAAAATCATGAAATATGCATTTATGACCTAAAAATCTAAAATATGCTATTTAATATGCAATTAAAATTATTATTAATTCATATCTTGCATTAACTTTTCTTGACAAAATTTAGGTGTGAAAAGATATATTTTTGTGCAAACATAATATTCCCTACTTCGCGAGAGTAATTGAGGTAAATATTCACCTTAGTGAAGTACATTGTATGTCTGCACTAAGGTCTCCCGTCCGTTTAAAAAAAATGATATCAAGAAATTTCCTACAATTGCACAAGTCACAAGCTCTTTTTAATCGATGAATACCAATTAATAAATAGATCGTATGAAACCTTTTAGAGATAAATCTCTATTTTTACGAAATATGCAAAATATGCGTCTATTTACACAAATATGCACGAACAAGAAAAATCGGCCAAATATTCACTAACATATTAATCTTGATAGCATCCAATTGCAACCAAATGTCAAGAAATTCCTCTTAACAGGGCCCTGGGAAGCAACGGACAAAAATCTGCAAAATCATAGAAATCCGCTCCTTACGCGATCACCACAGCGACTGAAGTGCCCGCAAACACGCAAGAGCCAGAGTCCACCAGAGATGCCAAACGCGCCGACACGGGTGGCCGAGATCGCTAACGCAGAAGGTCTGCGGTAATCTCACGCCGAAGGATCGCGAGTTCGAGTCCCGTTTCGGGTATGCTTGTATTGCGTTCGTCGTCCCACCCATCATCACCATATCACTTCATTCAGTAAACAGATACCCCTAACGTTAAATCAATAGTTGTTTCCAAGGATCTCTTAGTGGATGCGACCTTAAATTTAAAATAAATTACATCATGATTGTTCTATTTGGCCCTTTAGTTTCGAACAGATCTTTTCAAACAGGCGTAATACTAAATGCACATATATAGTATTATTATGTAAATACCACAATAGTTGAAAAGGCCTGTTGAAAAGTAAAGGGCCAAACGGCGAATATTAACAGCTTGGAGCCGCGTGCGCGCCTACCTTGAGCGCCGAGGTGCGGAGTGCGAGGTGGAGGCGGCGGCGCTATCGCCGAGGCAGTGGGGAGGCGATACGCTATCTGCGCCGCCGCGGCCTCCCGCCCACGTCCTCGGCCGGCGATGACTCACGCGCTGCCTCGCGGGGAGGGGGACACGAGATCCACGCGCCAAGCGAAAGCGCAATCAACCGGATGCATTGGGCACTCTGCAGGGCAATGATAAAAATAAATAACAAGTTGTACAACGTTTAAGCTACAAAAGGCTTACGAAGTGGAAATATAATAGTTTTAAGTAAAAGTATCTAGTGATCAATTAATACAATTTCCACGATGAGCTTTTTGGCTAAACAAATTGTTGTGTTTATTCTTTAATGAAATTCATGAGATAATAAATACGAAATTCAGTAGAACCTATTTTAATGTTCGTGTCATTTAATTAATTTAAAAGAATCCGACCTTATAAGAAGGATTTTTTTACATGAAATTTCATTTTTTCGTTTTCACTTTAGAACAATGCCGTTTAATACAGAAATTCATTTTACATTATGACGAAACTAAATTACCCATTCTTATATGTCATTGTTTCTGCATTTTTGTCGATTTCGTCTAATGAGTTTTTTTTACCTTTTTTAGTCATTTTTATTGCATTCCATCGTTTTTAATATCATTTTAATGGTACGGGTTTCAAACAATATTTACACAAATTCACCACAGAATTCTGAAGCTCGAATTCCTAATTCGATTTCTTGTAATATGTGCTCATATACTGTAATGTTAGCCGTCGTGAGTATTATTTAATCTAAGGTTCCTGTGACGTTTATCGGCGCCATTGTCAGTTCGGCCGATTTCGCGATAAATAAAGGCAAAGATTTTTGTTTAAAGAAAAGTCCAAAATCAAATTTTCGAGCTGAGTTCACTAGAACATAAAGAAGAAACCTCCGTTACAGTGGTATCATATCCAACAGCTTAAGTTGTTCTGAAGTGATTTCGATCACATTTTTAAAGTCATTTTTCTTTCTTTTAGGTCATTTTTAAAGCATTTTAAGAGCATTTTATTGATCATTTTTGGCAATTTTGTAGGTCATCAAAATTTGTCCCCTACTTATACGTAATGACTGTAATTAACTATTCAAGGTAAACATTATTTGAAACTTTTATGTAATATCCGACTTCTGTACTGTGCTTTATAAAATAAGACATTTCTCGTGTTCTAATTTCCCCGCAGTCCCATCACCTGCCGCCTATAGTTACGGGGCACCACGCGATTCCAGGCTTGCGCTGCCTGTGAGCAATGGAAGCAATGGAACGATTTCAATAACGTTTCGTAATACAGATGATTCAATGAAATTGGAGAACACTAAAACAATTATGGTAATCATTAGGAGGCAGATTTTGATGATCTAAAACATCGCCAAAAATTCTCAATAAAAGCTTTCAAAATGTCGTAAAAGGAAAGAAAAATGACGTAAAAAATTGATCGAAAATATTTCAGATGAACAAATAAAGCTGAAGAATATGTTATTGGTGTAATCGAGGCTTCTTCCTTTCGTTCAAGTGTACTTGACTTGCAACCGTTTGGTTTGGACCGGTCTTTACTGGAATTACGAATTCCAGAATGGGCCGAATAGACAATGGTGCTGATAGGCGTCACAGGAACCTTAAATTATATACAACGGTAATATTACAATTTCTGAGCGAAGCAATCGAATTAGCTACTCAGTAATTCTGTGGAGAACATTTGTTGAATATCGTAAATATTATTTATAGAATGTACCATTAAAATGATATTAAAATCGATTAAATCTGCAAAAAAAATCTTTAAAAATTTCGGGAAAAAGTAAAAATAACTAATCAGTGTAAACCGACGAAAAATGCCATGTAAAATAGGTAATTTGCTTTTCCCATAACAAAAAATTAACATCTATGCCAGTGTTATTCGAACTGGCGCGAAAGTTTGAGCGAGGAGGCGCAAGAATTGAATAATATAGTGACCTAATTATTGATCTAATTACTTCCAAATTTCACCAATAAGAAGAACATATCTTTCGTCAAACAACATACTTCAGTGTTTCAAACTGCAATATTGCTCAAATTTTGGCGTTCCGTAAGGAAAAGTATATAAAGTTATAGCGCGTTTTTTCTAACTCTGTCTCTCAAGGCCCTACGTCACAGTGGCTTTATGTCACGGTTTTTGCGTCTTTCTCGGTCGAGCCGCTCGATGTTAATATAATTGCTAGATGCCGCTAGATGATCCAGAACTGCGGGACGTCGCAACCGCACCACATCTAGCAACGTGGCCGAGAAAGGAGGAGGCCTAGAGAGGCGGAGTTATGAAAATGCACTGTAAATAAGGTCTTGCGTTTTCTGCTTCCTTTTGCCCTTTTTACCTTTGTGACACAGGATTTTCAGTCACGACGCTGATCACGAGAAAATATAGATCAAGGATAAATATCCAGAATGAGATGCGTCTTGCATTTTCTGAATTAGTATTTTTAAAAAAATATTTATTTGTTTTGTACATAGATCAGTTTTTGACTTTACATATGTATTGATGACTTATTAAATAAAACCTAACCTAACCTAACCTACTACAGAGATTGAGGAAACCATAATTGCACCTCAAAGGATCTAATCTAGGTCTAAAAAAATTTACAAAGTACAATATGTGGAATGGATATTTATTTTTGATGCGAGTGGGATGGATGGGGTTTTTGCGAAGTTTGAATGAAGATAAAATTTGGATATGGTGTATATTAAAGAAGAAGTTGTAGGATAGGTAGGTGATGTGGTGCTTGATGAGATCGAGGTTGAATTCACTGTGTAATTGATTATTAGATATGAACGAAGATACATTAGTGATTGTACGGAGGAATTGGTTCTGAACTATTTGAATGTTGTTGATGATGATCGTGAATCCAAACTGCTATTTCCTCTGTCTTGACGGTGGGGGTAAATTACTTGTCTGAGTGACTTGATGGGTGGAATTATTGGTTTCTATTTTAGTATTTGTTTTGTGAATTTCCATATGGAGTTGTTTTGTGCTGTTAAATATTTATTTTCTACAGAATATTTCTTCATATATTTACACAATTCATGGAATGACCACCAGGATAATACCTGTCTTACGGTGAATGATAATTAAAAATGTGTTTGGTAATGCTTGTAGATAATACTATGACTTCTTCAAGCGAAGAGAAATTTCTGGACAATGTAGCCACGAACCTCGCAGCAGAATAGGGAAGTAAGTTGATCAAAACGGCTAGGGAATTTTCTGATAAATTTGCGTCAAAGCTATGGTCCGTGAAGTGATTATAGTTTGAATCTTAAAAATCAGGTATTTTAGATGACAAGAGTATTTTTTGACAAGGTGTTTCGTCTGTTTAGAAACGCGATCACAACAGTTCCTATCAGTGTGAAAAAACATGCGTGAAATAAGTATGCCAAATATTTTTGTGATGAATGACCTTCTCGTCCAAATTAAATATTCCTAGCTCTAAAATATTCTATTATTTTTCGTGATTTTACGTGTACGAAAATACTTCACGGACAATTTTGCACAAGCAGATGTGCATTTAATTATAAAATATGTCGGCATCTGATTCTGATGACTATGCTGCGTATTTTTGCCTACTTCCGCATTCTTTCCTTCAATGGAAAACGCAATCTATTAGATTACTTATTCATTTTGAGGCATTAAAAGTATTTTATGTAAATTTTATTTTCTTACAAATGCCTCTTTCCCTAATATTTGTATGTTTTGTGTTTAACTGCCATACTTATTCAAATATTAATCACATATAGGTTTCTTTATTTTTTTTCCTACAGAGTAGAGAGAAATCGAACAATTATCCTTTGTAATTTAGCAATCACCCAACAATCTAAGATGCGTATTACTACTGCCACAGCGCGGGTATTTCGTATTACGATTACAGTACTGAATCTCTAGTGTTAGTGGAATTATTTACATGAATTTAATGAGTTAAGACTTTTGCGATGCGAGTGTGAGCCTTTCAGGTTCTTCATTCGAAGGAGAAGTTATGTAATCGTGCTTCAGAAAAATCTTACTGCCGGGCCCTAGTAACGAAAAAGTAAATACATCCAGATGCTACATACAGAAGAAAAAATGTTGGCGAAAATTCAGTTTTCCGGCACACGATTACATAACTTTCTCTTCATATGAAGTACATCGAAAGACGAGAAAGTAAAAATTCTTTTAACACATGGTGTAGCCAGAATCAATATTTTGTAGGTTCTTGGTAGCGAAAAATCCATTGTCAGCAAAACGTCTGTCTGTCCCTCAGTGGCCAACGCTAACAACATTCTGCAATGTTCAGAATGGCACCAACAGACAGCGAATACGAATCAAATACGAATTTTGTGAGGGTTTCTAGAAAAAAAATCTTCCATTGCTTCAACAATTAAACTGTGAGGGATTGAAGGATACGTGACACGAACAGAAGATCAGGATTCATTTTAAATTTTACTAATTAATTCAAAACTATTCTTTATAGTATAAACATGACCTGTAACCAGAGGCTTAAGAAGTTGATTCAAAAATTTCAACAAAAAATTATCGATTCTTCCAACGGAAGACACTACCGGCCTCATAGGAAGATTTTTCTTGTGGAAGTTGACAAACTAGAATGCGAAGGCGATATTTATACTAGAAGGGTATATGATTGTATTCTTACAGGAACTATTTTTAATTTCCTCGAGAAAATCTTGAATTCGTTTTAAAGGCCCTTCATTAGTTTAAATTTGGTTCTGTCGGAAAAAATTAGCCTCATTAATCACATTATCCTTGCTCATAATAGCGGCGTAAGCGCCAACTTTGTCACATTGGATAATTTTTAGATCTGGGTGTTGCTTTAGAAGCGTCTCAGTACAGAGCAATTTCTGCAAAATTGCTCGTTCTTTAGGGTTATATTTTGTTGGACTATTAACAAAGTGAGTAAGTTTATTACAAATAGAAGAACGCATTGTATTGTGAACCACATCCAGGAAGCATCAATATGTTAGATTAAAAATCCATAATGAACTCAAATCTGACTTGTTTTTTATCATTATCTTTAATTGGAAAGTTAAAATTCTTTCCTATTTTTAGGGTATCGATAATG